AGGTGGGGTCTCACTGTGTTATCCCATACAGCCTCAAACATATGGGTTCAAGGGATCTGGTCATGTGGGCCTCCCAAGTAGCTGGGACGACAGGTGCAGCCACCATGGCCAGCTGTTTTCTCCTTATTATTTTTACTTTTAAAATAAAAATCTTGGCTTGGCACCTGTAGCTCAGTGGTTAGGGTGCCAGCCACATACACTGGGGCTGGCGAACCCAGACCAGGTCTACTAAACAACAAAAAAATAGCTGGACGTTGTGGTGGGCACCTGTAGTCCCAGCTAATTTGGAGGTTGAAGCAAGAGAATCATTTAAGCCCAAGAGTTTAATGCTGCTGTGAGCTATGATGCCACAGCGCTCTACTGAGGGTGACATAGTGAGACTTTGTCTCAAAAAATAAAAAAAATTAAAAAGTAAAATCAAATAAAAATCCACAAATAGTCCATGTTAATCTTAGAGAACTTAGAAACTATTGATGAGAAAGCCCATTCAGTCATTAGCTATGAGCCTATATACGTTATACATACTATAGATGCTATATATTAAACCATTTCTTTAATATTTCATAACAAGTAATAGATGGCTAGAAAGCAAGTAGCATTTTTAAATAAGACTAGTTTCTTTTTTAATGCTTTTTTTTTCTTTTTTTCTTTCTTTTCGCCCATTTCAGCAAAGGAGTGTGGTGGTGTCTTCACAGATCCCAAGCGTATTTTTAAATCACCAGGCTTTCCCAAGGAGTATGAGGATAATCAAATCTGCTACTGGCACATCAGACTCAAGTATGGTCAGCGTATTCACCTAAGTTTTTTGAACTTTGACCTTGAAGATGATCCAGGTTGCTTGGCTGACTATGTTGAAATATATGACAGTTACGATGATGTCCATGGCTTCGTAGGAAGGTATGTGAGGTTTTCCCAGACAGGAAGTTAAATGAATGTCCAATATTTTGTGTCTTGCTTCTTTAATTTTCCCTGCCCTGTCCCTGCAATACTGATTTTACAGTATTTCAGTTTTCCTACAACCCCATATCATTTTAAAGAAAGATTTTTCTTAGCTGACAGCCTCATATACTTATTACTAAGGTAGTGATAGTTGCCTTTGATTATTAGTAAGTTGTAAAAACAAGGTAGTCTGGCTTAGTGCCTGTAGCTCAGTGGCTAGGGCTCTAGCCACATAATGCCAGAGCTGGCAGGTTCAAATCCAGCGCGGACCTTCCAAACAACAATGACAACTACAACCAAAAAATAGATAGGCGCTGTGGCGGCACCTGTAGTCCCAGCTATTTGGGAGGCCGAGGCAAGACAATCGCTTAAGCCCAAGAATTTGAGGTTGCTGTGAGCTGTGACGTTACAGCACCCTACCAAGGGCAACAAAGTGAGCCAAAGTGAGACCCTGTCTCAAAAAAAAAAAAAAAATGAGGTAGTCTATTTATTAAAACCTCAAGATTTGACTAACAATAGGAAGAAGAAGAAATATATAAGCTGAAAAACGTATTGGGGGTTTTAAGTTCTAAGTTATGTCAACTTCCTAAAAACAACTGTCGTTTCAGTAATTTTTGCCTTTCTTCTTCCTACAAAAACTCTGAACTAAGCATTATGTACATAAAGTAAATAAGCAAAGTGTAGCCCCTTCTCTCTTACAAGTTAGGTAAGCATACGATAAATATCTTCTTAAAAATAGCTTTCTTAGCTCGGCACCAGTGGCTCAAGCAGCTAAGGCGCCAGCCACATACACCTAAGGTGGCGAGTTCGAATCCAGCCTGGGCCTGCCAAAACAATGACAGCTGCAACCAAAAAATAGCAGGGCATTGTGCCAGGTGCCTGTGGTCCCAGCTACTTGGGAGGCTGAGGCAGGAGAATTGCTTGAGCCCAGGAGTTGGAGGTTGCTGTGAGCTGTGATGCCACAGCACTCTACCCAGGGGGATAGCTTGAGTCTCTGTCCCCCCCCCCACAAAAAAAAGAAAGAAAGAAAAAAATAGCTTTCTTTGGCCATGTACAGTGGCTTATGCCTATAAACCCAGCACTTTGGGAGGCAGAGATGAGAGGATTGAGTGAGGCCAGGAGTTGGCAACCAGCCTGGGCAACATAGTGAGACTCCATCTCTACACATAAAAACAGTTGTAAATAAGCAGGTGCTTACTTAATAAATAATAATAATAAGCTGGCTCTGATGTTGGGCACCTGTGGTCTTACTCAGGCGCTAAGGCAGGAGAGTTGCTTGAGCCCAGGAGTTAGTTCAAGGCTGCCTGGAGCTATGAGCCATGATTGTGCTACTGTGCTCCAGCATGGGTGACTGAGCAAGACTTTCTCTCTAAAAATTAATTAACTAAATTAATATTTAAAAAGTTTTCTTTGACATAAAAACCAAGTGTTTCCTTCCTCAGTATTTTCCCCTTGATTTTTCAACATGCTAGAACACAGTCTTTTTTTTTCCCACCCTAAATCTTTAATATAGTTTAAATATTGAGTGCTTTACAATATATTGCAAAGTTAAGGTGTGTACAATTAGGTATTTTATATATTCAGGTCCCCACTTTGTAACTAATATCTTAGACTATAGGTTATCAATTATCAATAGGCTATTAAATATCAATTCTCTGTTATAAATGACAGTAATTTAACAGAAGAAAATAATAGTAGGGCTCGGCACCCATAGCATAGTGGTTATAGCACCAGCCACATACACTGAGGGTAGACAGGTTCAAATAGCTAAACAACAATGCCCAGGCCAGCTAAACAACAATGACAACTGCAACCAAAAAATAGCCCGGCATTGTGGCAGGCACCTGTAGTTCCAGCTACTTGGGAGGCCGAGGCAAGAGAATTGCTTAAGCCCAAGAGTTGGAGGTTGCTGTGAGCTGTGACACCACAGCACTCTACTGAGGGGGATAAAATGAGACTCTGTCTCAAAAAAAAAAAAAGTAATAGTAGGACAATTTAAAAATGACAGACTCAACAGATTTTTATGCTGACTTTGAAACATATAATTTAAATACAAGGAAAAATAAATCCCTGGTTGTCTAGGAGTTAGGATAAAAAGAAAAAGAAAAAGAAAGGCATTTCTTGCGTAAATGAACAACAATTTTTGAAGGGAAAGTATATGTTGTTTTGTTTTGCTTTGTTTTGTTCTTTGGCTAATGACTACAGGAACAAAATGCAACTAGTTTTTTAAAATACTTTGGAGAAGACATGAAGTAGAGTTTGAGAAATTAAGAACCAGGCATTTTCTGAAAGAATAGATCTTTCCCCTTGGGAATCAAGAGGACATTTTGTTCTAAACCCAGTTTCAGAAATCAATTACAACTCTAGATAAAACCATAAACTATTATTTTTAGAGGTGTCAGCAGGCTAATTTGTTACTTATTTGATTCATATTATCTCCTTTTTCTTTTTTTAAGACAGGGTCTAATAAAATTCCATTCTTCTTTAGTTGTGAAGAAAACTTTGTAAAATTAATCAAAAACAAATTTTTAGTTTTTCCAAGTAGAGTTAAATGATCTATTATTGCACAAAAGTTTTATAGGTACACAAAGTAGAAAGACCACAGATCATTTTCTTTTAATTTCATTAGTACTGTGAGAAGGTTACTTCAAACAGCAAATTTTGTTTCAACTTTTCTTCTCCCTTACAAATCCAAGTGAAAAAACAAGTTTTAACAAGTATAGAGGCTCAAAGGGGTAGGGCCCTGGCCCCATATGCCGGAGGAGGTGGATTCAAACCCAGCCCTGGCCAAAAACTCAAACAACTATAGAAGAATTGGCCAAACACAGTGACTCACGTCTGTAATCCTAGCACTCTGGGAGGCTGAGGCAGGAGGATTGCTCAAGCTTAGGAGTTCGAGACTGGCCTGAGCAAGAGCAAAACTTCTGTGTCTACTAAAAATAGAAAAATTAGGCAGGCATAGTCATGGGCACTTGTAGAGGCTGAGGCTCAGCTGTGATCTGGGCTGAGGCCATGGTACTCTAGTTTGGATGACAGAGAAAATTGAAATACTGTAAAATCAGTATTGCAGGGACAGTGTAGTTTCTCAGAAATTAAAAAAAAGAAAGAAAAAGAAAAAACTATACAAAAATGAGCCATTTCTTAGGTGAAGTCATTTTAATTATCAGTAAGAACTTCTTCAGTAGCTATACAATATTCACTCATGTTACTTCTCTTTTCTAAAAATTCCTTTTCAGATACTGTGGAGACGTGCTTCCGGATGACATCATTAGTACAGGTAATGCTCCAAACTGAGGACCAAAACCATGATTTGTTTTGTCAGTGTCAATGACAGTGAAGGACGTTGTCCTAGGGGTTATTATTGTTCACTTTTTAAAGTTAGGAAAACTGGCTCAGCACCTGTGGCTCAAGTGGCTAAGGCACCAGCTACATACACCTAAGGTGGCGGGTTCGAATCCAGCCCGGGCCGCCAAACAACGATGACTGCAACCAAAAAATAGCCTGGTGTTGTGGTGGGTGCCTGTGGTCCCAGCTACTTGAGAGGCAGAGGCAGGAGAATCTCTTGAGCCCAGGAGTTGGAAGTTGCTGTGAGCTGTGATGCCATGGCACTCTACCTAGGGGGACAGCTTGAGGCTCTGTCTCAAAAAAATAATATAAAATAAAATTAGGAAAACTAAGACCGGATATAACTTGTTAGCTTTTAAATGCAAAGAACTTTTTGTTTACACTTAAAAATTTATGCCTCCAACTGCTTGCACCAAAAGTATATATGCTTGAGGGGGGGAGGTTGTTTGTTTGTTTTGAGACAGACTCTCACTTTGTCACCCTTGATAGAGCACTGTGGTATTATAGCTCACAGCAACCTCCATCTCTTGGGCTCAAGTGATTCTCTTGCCTCAGCCTCCCAAGTTGCTAGGAGTAGAGGTGCCCACCACAATGCCTGGTTTTTAGAGACGGGATCGCTCTCTTGCTCAGGCTGGTCTCAACTCTGGAGCTCAAGCAATCCACATGCCTCCGCCTCCCAGAGTGTTAGGATTACAGGCATGAGCCACTGCACCAGGCTGCTATTCTCTTTCAATATAGTGTATGCTTCTTCTACAAAGAGTATCCCTTAATTGTTTGTTTATTTATTTATTTTTGAGACAGAGTCTCACTCTGTGGCCCTTAGTGGAGGAGTACCATGGCATCATCACAGCTCACGTCAACCTCAAACTCTTGGGCTCAAGTAATCCTCTTGCCATAGTTTTTCTATTTTTAGCAGAGATGAGATCTTGCTCTTAGTCTGGTCTCAAACTCCTGAGCTCAAGCAATCCCCCCCACCGCTCACCTAGGCTTCCCAGAGTGCTAGGATTATAAGCATGAGCCACCATGCCCTGGCCAAAGAGTACCTTTTAAACAGAATAGACAAAATTTCCTGTGGGACAGATGGCAGGATGCAGGAAAAAGCATGAAAGGTCCTTACCCTGGGTTCCATGTGGCAATGAAACCACAGATTCTACACCTTGAGAACCTATCTCTGAATATTGGGAGTCTTCATGAATTCTTAGATTCTCCCGTGAGAATGATGAGGTCTTGGATTGTTAGCCAAATCAAAGAACAATAACATAGTTCTTCTTTTGCCTCTCCTCTCACAGGAAATGTCATGACCTTGAAGTTTCTAAGCGATGCTTCAGTGACAGCCGGAGGTTTCCAAATCAAATATGTGACAATAGATCCTGTGTCCAAATCCAGTCAAGGAAAAAATACAAGTACCACTTCCACTGGAAATAAAAACTTTTTAGCTGGGCGATTTAGCCACATATAAGAAGAAAAGGATGGAACTCCTTTGATCTCAGCTTTATATTATTATTGTTAACATTTATTTATTACTTTTTGAAATGTGAAAGCATTGCCTAATTTCAGACAAATTAGAAAATACAGAAAACTCTAAATGAGAAAATAAAATCTGTCATGATCTCACTACATACACATAACAACCATTAACATTTTTTCTTTGTTTTTTATTTTAACATTTTTATGTTTTTTCTCTTTCAGTCACTTTTCTATTTGTAGTGTGTGTGTATATGTGTGTGTGTGTATGCATTTACATTTGAAATTTTGAAATTCCACTCTGTGTACAGTTTTATATCATAGTTTTGTTAACCTTGAGCTTTATGGTTTAAGCATTTTTCTAAAATCGTTAAGTATTCTACAAAATCATGATTTTGAACAGCTGTAAAATAGTCTATGCTATGATTGTTCCATGCATTATTTAAGCCTGTCTCTATTGTCGGAATTTCAGGATGTTTTCATAAGTATTGTTGTAATAAATATTCTTGAACATACATATCTGTTCAACCCTCTAATTATTTGGGACAGTGTCCTAGAAGTAGAACGGCTGGATCAGAAGTTAATTAAAATAGAATTTCCTTTTTTAATAGGCAAAAACGAAACGTCATTGTAATTTGGATTTCCATTGCTTTGTCAGGGAGATTGATGGTTGGTTTATATAATTTGGGACCCATTTCTTTTCTTTTGTGAGTGATTTTTCCATCCTTTTTCTTTCAGCTATTTTATAAAACAGGTCAATCCTTTCTGATACTGAGTTGTAAGATTATATTAGATATATGGCCATGTTTGTCCTACATGTTACAATTTAGTTTTAAGTTTAAATTTGCCTTTTATTTTTATGGTTTCTTTTAATGTATCAAAGGTAAACATTTATTTGCTGTTGTATTTATTGATTTGCTACGGTATCTTTCCTCATATTTATGTTTAGGGCTGTCAAAAGATAAAATACCTGGGCAGCTCCTATGGTTCTTTGAGTAGGGTGCCGGTCCCATATACCTAGGGTGACAGGTTCGAACCTGGCCCCCAGCCAAACTGCATTGTGGATGGCGCTTGTGGTCCCAGCTACTTGGGAGGCTGAGGCAAGAATTGCCTAAGCCCAGGGGTTAGAGGTTACTGTGAGCTGTGATGCCACAGCACTCTACCGAGGGCAAAAAAAAAAGAATCAAGCAACACTGTTTTAAAACAGAATGAATGTTGCAGTAAGCAGAGAATGTTGGATTTATGGACAGAAAAGAGCTGAGGAAAGCAGAGACTGAGTAGGTTAATTGTTTCAAAGGTACTTTTCTTGTGTAGGTTAAGTAGAGGAGGCTTCTTTACTGATAGGGGGCTTCCCTAGCCCAGGGACCCGCCCAGATAGAACTGAGCCCAGGGACACAGAAAGGAGGGCACAAATCCCACCCGGGAAGGAATGAGTGCACCAATCCCCAGCTCCCCCAAGCCCTTATATTCCCAACCGCCTTAACCCACCTGCTGACTTCTTTTTTTTTTTAATGTTTCTTTTATTAAATCATAGCTGTGTACATTAATGCAGTCATGGGGTACAGTGTACTGATTTTATATACAATTTGAAATATTTTCACCAAACTGGTCAACATAGCCTGCATGGCATTTTCTTGGTTATTATGTTAAGACATTTATATTCTGCATTTAGAAAGATTCATATGTACCCCTGTAAGATGGACCATGGGTGTGGTCCCACCAATCACCTTCCCACCACCCATCCTCCCTCCTCCCCTCCCCTCCCTCTCCCCTGTTTCATATTCTTGGTCTATAATTGGGCTATAGCTTTCGTATGAAAGCTATAAACTAGTTTCATAGTAGGGCTGAGTACATTGGATACTTTTTCTAGCATTCTTGAGATACTTTGCTAAGAATAATATGTTCTTTTTCAAACTCAGCCCACTCGCACTCAGGTGAATAAAGGCCTCATTGCCCACATCGAACCTGCACTCCATTTCCTTTTGTTCACTTCTGGAAATAACCTCTCATTTTTGAACTCAAACCTCTCACTTATCATGCCAACTTGTTATGCCCCAGCTCCATCTTGTTAAGGGCTTTCAACACTCCCCCTTTAAGACAGAAAGCTCAGCTGAAAGAAATAACTGCAAAAACCCAGCTTCCCTTGTAAGGACACCCGTTAGCAGGTGTTGGCTCTTGTCAAAATTCAGCTTGTATTAAGGATTCCCCCTCCCCTAACAAAAGCCCCTTATAAAAGGTTTCCACCCCTGCTTCTAGGAGTGGGGAGACAGTGAGGTATGAACTCTTGGCCCGGTCGATCAATAAAGGACCCTTGCTTAATTGGACTCAGTGTGCTGGCATTTCTCTATTCCACTTGCTTTGGGTATAACAAACTAAAACTGGCCTGTTTGGGGTTTGGCTATTATCTCTGTCTCTTTCCTAATTTCTTGGAAGGTCAGGTAAACAACTTAGTTTCGGCGTGGTGGCAGGGAACTTCAGCATGAGTAATTCCATTTTGGATTGGTCTGTTGGGCCTGGTGCAAGAGCCCAATTCAAACCAATGGCCTCCAATAAATTTTAGTTAACAAGATGAATGGTCCCATTTTAAGACTGGATATTTATTCATCTGTATTTGACTTTTGCTATATCACTTCACTTTTTAGAGGGAAAAAATCCACAGTTACTACTCTGTATGTGAGCTAAAGAGACCCCAAATAGGGTGCTTTGGCATGTCTCAGAAGCAGTCTCTCTGACCTTCTCCTTCCCTCCCTTCCCCTTCCCTCCTTTCTCTCTCTCTCTCTCTCTCCCTCCCTCCCTCTCTCTCTCTCTCTCCCCCCCTTTTTTACCCCAAAGCAAGTCCTGGAAACCAGAATTCCTCTTTCCCAAGGTGATTCATTGCAACTAGAGCTCCTCTTCCCGCAAAGCAAGCCATAAAACCTAGAAAGGCCACTCTCCTCCTTCCCCCTCCCATTGAAGACTCTCATTCTGCAGGGGTCCTGTGCTACCCCAGAGAAGGAATGCTGCACAGGCCAAGAAGAATCTGAACAGACAGGCGTGCTGGGTTTTCTCCCTTGGTCTGTTACCACTGGATCACATCCTTCTGTCCAATCACATTTCTACACGGCTGTTCATTCTTCATCAAGCCTAAGCATAAGTATACAGTATTCCCTGGGTCTTTGGGCCTTCCTTTCTGAAGTCTTACATGTCACATAAAACTTTCAGTAAAGTTTTCTCTTGTTAACCTTCCTGTGTTATAGGAGCGTTGGCCATAACCTTTATGAGGGGTGATGAAAGAATCACACCTTTCCGTCCCTCTGCAGGCAATGATTACCATCCAATTAAGTTCAACAAAAATGTATGCACCAACCACTGTTCTAGCCATTTGAGAAATACCAGAGAACCAAGTAAACATAATCTCCAGGTTAAGGAGCTTATGTTCTGGTGGAGGGAGAAAGACAATAGTTAATATACATACATAATAAATTAGTAAACTGTGTGTGAGAAAGTTTATCGCAGGCCAGGCACAGTGGCTCACACCTGTAATCCTAGCACTCTAGGAGGCCAAGACCAGTGGATTGCTTCAGCTCAGGAGTTCAAGATCAGTCTCAGCAAGAGTGAGACCCTGTCTCTACTAAGAATAGAAAAAAATACTTGCTGGGCCCAGTGGCAGGTGCTTGGGGAGACTGAGGCAAGGTGCTCCCATGGGCCCAAGAATTTGAGGTTGCTGTGAACTATGTTAACATCACAGCACTCAACCCAGAGTGACAGAGTGAGACTCTGCCTCAAAAAAAAAGGTCAGTGGGGTGGCACTTGTGGCTCAAAGGAGTAGGGCGCCGGCCCCATATACCGGAGGTGGCAGGTTCAAACCCAGCCCTGGCCAAAAACTGCAAAAAAAAAAAAAAAAAAAAGGTCAGTGGATCATGCCTATAATCCTAGCACTCTGGGAGGCCGAGGCGGGTGGATTACTTGAACTCAGAAGTCTGAGACCAGCCTGAGCAACAGCAAGACCCCATCTCTTAAAAAAATAGCCAGGTGGTAGTGGGTGCCTATAGTTCCAGCTATTCAGGAGGCTGAGTGATTGAGCCCAAGAGTTTGAGGTTGCTGTGAGCTGTGACAACACAGCACTCTACCAAGGGCAATATAGAGAGCCTGTCTCGAAAAAATAGAAAAGAAAAGAAAGTGTGCAGTGCAATAAATTATCAACCCTGTGAAGAGTGTCAGTAACTGGGATGGGCAGTTGCAGTGAGGTGGAGGAGACCAAGACCCACTGAAGTATGAGGAAGGAAGAGTGAACCAGAGGAAAGGAACCGGAAATAGTGGGTTTGGCTGTGGAGAAAGCAATAGTGTAACCCGCTCTGTAAACAATTTTCAGTGGCCCCTGTGTGTTTTTTAATAGTCCTCTCCCTGAATTAATTACTTGATCTTTTGAGTTATTCCCCCCCCCCCAAATTGTTGATTTTCTGCAAGATAAAGGATTCTGAAGGCCCCTGGGCAGACTTCCTGACTAAGATTCAACATCCCCTACACCCTGCTTCCAGAGTATGTTGGGGAGCCTCTTGTCATCCCTCCACCTGCCCCAAGGAATGTGGCTCCTCCTCTACAAGCCCATGATCTCCGTCAGTCAGGGAGCCAGATCAGAGGCAGCTTCTCCTGTTTTCTTGGCACGATGTCTGTCCTATTAAAAAATTCCTTTCTGGCTAGGTGCCCGTAGTTCAGTGAGTAGAGTGCTGACCATGTACAACAAAGGTGGTGGGTTCGAGCCCTGCCCGGGCCTGCTAAACAACGATGACAACTGCAACCAAAAAATAGCTGGGCATTGTGGACTGTAGTCCCAGCCACTTGGGAGGCTGAAGCAAGAGAATTGCTTAAGCCCAAGAGTTTGAAGTCGCTGTGAGCTGTGACACCACAACACTCCACCAAGGGCAACATAGTGAGACTGTCTCAAAAAAAAAATTCCTTTCTTCCTTGGCAATCCTTGTGTCAGTAACTGAATCTTGGTGCACTAAGTAACTGGAT